AATAGTACTGGTATAATAAATATATATACTACAAAACCCGTGGTGCACTCTCAGAGAGGAAGCTAATAGTATTTTTTGTTAGTAAGTTTAAATCGCGTCAAACAATATCCTACACAACCGAAGATAATTATGTCAAATTTTTCACGGACATAATTATTCACGATCATGACCACCGGTGGCGTAACGTTGCTCTGCAACGATCTGGAAGGGTTGACATTGTCAATCAATGAAAAAGAACACGTATACTGAAAGTCTATTAAAATGCTGATTAAGTCCGTGTCTCAGGAGACATCACACAATTAATCTTACTTGGATTAAGTTTAATTTACTAAGCATATTATATATATGCAACACTTGGTGAAGTTGAATGATTTAATTTAATTTCGAAACCAAATTGGACGGAACAAACGTTAAATAAACTTTGCTCGTGCGGACCATAGTCACGTGACAATTTCCTGCCTCCTGATTGGTTGCCTTTTGAGTACGTACTTATTATCTCTCTCCTTTATCACGCCACTAAATCCACTTGTCTCACACGCGCTTCTCTGATAGTTATTTAGAATATATATTCGCATGTATCCACATTCCACACTATATTTACATTACACGTTCAACGTGATATCATTATCAGTGCAGTGTGTACAACACCAACTACACCAGAGTAGGCCCTGCCATCTCGAAGTGGCTTCTCTGATAGGCCGAGCAAAGTCACGTGACAGCGACACACGACAATTTCGTTGGTTGTCATGGCGATGGTGCGCGCTGATTGATTCACAGCTTCACGTGACTTAGATACTCTATTCTGGTTGGCCCATTTGTGACAGAGACGCCTGAGGGTCGTATGTTTACTGTTTAGGGCAGAGTTCTTCGAAATATAATGGAGATAATTATAAGATAAGGGTTGTTCTAAGTAGCTACTCGAGTATTTGAGTATCATGCACGTGGGCGCTTTTCACTGAGTATATCATTATAATTTGTGATTTGAGCAAACTGCAAATCACCTCGAATAGATTATTGCTATCCTAAAGTTACTCTAGTAGCAGGGCATAGTTAAGTAAAATGGATCAGTGGTGATCGGTAAAACCTACTCCAGTTATACAACGAGGACAAACTTGCTACGGAGCAAAAGAAATTGAATATTCTCTCTGTTAAACAAAAGTTTATTTATAACGATCTTATGATCTTCTGATTTAAAATAGTGAACATAAGACGTGAATAATAAGAGGGAGTTATTTGCGTGAATGTTTAGTTACGAACGACAATGATTTCGTTTTATGATTATTTTGAAAATTACCTATATATAGACTAGGTGACACTGGGATTCGAACCCTGAACCTTCTGCGCAGAAGGCGGATGCTCTAACCACTAGGCCACCTAGTATAGTTACCTATATATATATACAGGATTAAATAGGATTAAACAGGATTAAACATAAATTTTTCAATGAGAGCCCTAACACTCACGTCTTGAATATACATCAATATAATAGAAATAAATAAATAAATAATGTGCAAGAGTGTTCTTAAAATAAAAATGTAAAAATCATAAAAATTTAACTTCGTCACATCTTTTGTTGAAAGAGAAACAAGTGCAAATAATATAATTTAGTTCCCATGAACATATTGTTCCAAAATGATATGATATGGTGATCGTGATATGAAATGAAATGAAGCTCGACTTGACTGTCACGTATCCGCAGAGGAGTTCTGTTGAGGTGTAGCGGGGACTTTACAGCTGGACTTCAGCAGATCCTTCTTAGTGACTTCCTTCTTCGGGAAACGCCTGTTGTTTGCTCTCACCAAGAACCTCGCTGTTTCTCTTATGAGGCTGACATCTGTGAATAGCCCCTCTAAGTTTATTGTTTACCCCATATACTCAAGCAAGATGGAGTACCTATTTGTTTGCAGTGTTTGGACATGATTCTCAGTAACCTATTAATAATGTATTCAGTATTCAGTAAGTTTGATTATTATGGAATATTTGAGTATAAATCTGATCTGTAACCGTCCCTTTCAATTTTGAGCCCACATTTTTCACCGCTGACACTTATTTAACCTCACGTTACCGATAAGTTAAAACCGCGGCGTGCAACAATAGTTACCTGATTAATGACAAAATCATGCCACCTACAAAAGCTGGCACTTCTTCTGGCAGTGAATGAGTGAGATATTAGGTAATCGTACTGCAGTAGTAACCATGGTAACGAGGGTAGTGCGATACGTGCAGATATTAAAACTGGGCTCCTCATTCTACTGCTTCTGGTGAACTAATGACGTGACAATGTATCGCTCAATAAATAACGTGACAATGGGAATTGTGTAGATAAGAGAGCAATAAACACGTCCACAGAAAATTCGATTATTTACAGAAACCATTATCGTGGGATATCTGCAGTAGTAACCATGGTAACGAGGGTATCTGCACTTGCTTTGAGAAACGTTTAATGTGCAGAAAATCAAATTGTGCGCAGTTAAGAGTAACGTCTTAGAGTCAGAGGAAAGACCATGCCTGTAAAAACATTTAAAGTTTATGACGGGATGGCTGAAAGTTGCATCCTGTCCAAATTCTATTGGCAGATGGATAATAATGGCAAACCGTAGTCAAAATTGTTTTAAATATTTTGCTCGTCACGACAGTGCCAGGACAGTGCCACGACTGTGCCACGACAGTGCCACGACAGTGCCACGACAGTGCCACGACAGTGCCACGACAGTGCCACAACGGCGCGTCGAAGCGGCGAAGTCCTCCAATGTTAACAAGTTCTTTACGACTACACGTGTTCTTTACGACTACACGTGTTCTTTACAGAAAGCTGTAAGGAAACCGTTCTCTGACAGATTACCAACTTTATCTTTAAGTTTATCAAGACACTCGTCTACCATCGTCATTTTGCTTTTATTAAATTGAACGTCACAGCACGCAATAAATTTACATACAACAATGTTAAACAATTGGAGTTCACACCACTTTTTTCGTTTTTCAGGTAACTTTGACGTCAATTTTATGGACGTCAACTTAATTTGTGCGTCAAAAATTTGTTTCAAAAATGTATAATACTATTCTATATTTTAGTCAGCAAAAGTACTGAAGCAAGGGGGTTGGGGTAAGTCATTGCCTTTAGTAAATCCGAGTGCCATGAAATATTACAAAGTTTATTGCATTGAGTTTGTGACTTGGATTATTAAGCATTTAAATTCGTTATCTGACTCTTTCTAACACTGTTAAATATTATCATGTCCCTCCGCAAGCAATCCTCGCCCATTTTTTATATCCGTGGTTTTCGATATCAAGCTAAATGGAATCAAGCATTTAAAACCTTATTTGCTACGAACATGTCTGGTATAACAAGTATAACTGCAACTTAACATGCCTACTTTTGATTTAATTTAGTGCAGCGTGTGACAGCTTGAAACCGTGTTCTATTCTGGTTTCCTTATCTCTAATATCTGATTTACCACTAATTTGGAG